GGAGTGTAGGAAACAGATCTTGGATAAGCCTAACTGCCCTGTGGGAAAGCACTGGCTGGCACAGTGACAGTGAATCATCCAGGCAGGCCAGCCCAGGCTGATGGGGTCCAGGAGAGGTCCCCTCGGGGACAGGGTATACCTTGCTCAGCCCCATAGGCAGGAGGAGCCATAGGAGTGCTGGAGAACCCCCTCCACCTCAAGGAGGCTTCAGAGTCTCTGTCCAGTCCCAGCTACCTTAGGGAATGGTCAGAGCATCCTGGGAGGCAATGGTATCTGTCAATACGACTCTCCCGAGGCTGGGGGACCTATCTGTCCATGCTGTGCCTGGACAGATTCTTCCTGGTGGCTCCTTCTCTGTCCACTGGCCTGGGGATCATAGTAGCTCCTTCTCCTGTGGCTCCTCTGTGCCCACTGGGTCTGACTGCTACATGGGGTTCAGCTGAGCTGGCACCCCTTCCTCTTCTTGAAGAGGACAGACCCCAGGGACCAGAGGGCTGGTGTAAATCCTGGCAACATAGCCAGTCCTCTGTGTGACCCTGAGCAGCTTCGTGGGCCTCAGCCTTCTGGTGTATATGACAGGGACAATCCTAGTGCCTGCACCACAGTCGTTGACAAGAGGTGGGTTTGTCATTACTTCTCTCCTGTACCTGCTCAGGGCTGATCCAGGTAGGGTTTTATGTGGGGTGACCCAGCTGTGACTGAGCCCTTCTATGTTTGGTGCCTGATGGTGTCTTGGATTATCGAGCTCTGTGTGGGGATGCAAGCAGTGGCCCTGGGAGGCGTGTTGGAGGACTTACAAGCTCTTCTGCTTGTTCACAATGCAGCAGGTGAGCCTTGGGTGGACTCCTTACCATCTTTAGTCATAAACAGCACCAGGTTTCTCCTTTGCTGTTTTGACAACTGCCACAGAGGGAGCCATGACAGAATTAAACACAAGGAAAACATTTTTGACAGTGTGTGAAAGACACGGGCAGAAATGTGTCCAACTTGGCAGAAGGTACCCAGTGAGCAGAGATGGGTGGATCCAACGAGGGGGTCCATTGGCATGGTGCTGGGGAGGGAGCTGCACCTGTGTCCTCCACATCCACTTCCAGGATCCTATGTGAGAAGCAGGGTTGCTCTGTGGGCTCCCCTGCCCCTCCCCCTTGGCCCCTCATCCTGGAAGCGGGAGGCTTGGGGATGGCCCCACAGGGCTGAGACTGCACCAGCTCCTCTGATTCTTTGGGGCTCCAGGTGTGCCCCTAAGACCTATACTGGCTCAAGAAGCTGCTGGGGGTGTGAGCAACCCTCAGAGCCAGAACCAGCCCAAATAGATACCTCAGTGGGAGGACCTCCCTTGGAGTTCAGTAGTCACTGAGTCCACCCCGTCCCCTGTGGTAGGCAGGGCATGGCTGATGCCACCATACATGCATCCCTGCACAGCTGGATGTAGCCCTAATACTCGCCTGTTTTTCATCAAGTCATACGTTGGCCTCATTAGGGCAGCACCCCTGGGTGGCCCCGTCTGGGGGGCACACACGACCCGACTGGTGCTCCATGGTAACATCCACATCCATGTGGCACCACAGACACTGTGGCCCCTCTTGGTAGCTTCCATGTGGCCACGATCTCTTCAGCTGGATGAATCAGGACAGGCAGCTAATGAGGATTGGCATCTTGCTGGGCCCAGGGAGGGTCAGGCTAGGAGCAGCAGATGGGCTGTTGTGGTCACTTGGGTACATGTCCTGTGGCCTGTGGAACATCCAAGTGGAGACCCAGAAGGTTCTAGAACTGGGAAAAGCAGACTTGGAAAGCAGTGTGGGAGTAGTCTGCACATGGCAGACATGAGCGGTAGGGATGTTGATTTGGGGAAGGAGAGAGGCCAGGATGCGGACTGGGGCAGCCTCTGTGGAGCACACAGGAGGACAGCACACAGCAGATGCAGGGTGGGGCAGAAACCAAGGATAGGCTAGGGGAGAGGCCCCGTGGCCAAAGGCAGATGAGAAGAGGGACCAGTGGAGGATGGGAGGAGGGAGCCATAGACGTTGCCCAAAGAAAAGAGGCCAGGCCTCAGAGGCCTGCACGCTGTAGACACTGAAAGGAAAGAGAGAAAGACAAGGACAGTGTGGAGTGGGGTGGGAAGGGGGGTTGGGGGTACAGCGAAGGCCCAAGCGCA